ACTGAGAAAGTGATAATTTCTAAATTTTTTAAAGGCCCACTACATGTGTCCTAACATGATATCAATGAACAAGAAAGAAAGAGATGTCTGGGAAAATCTAAATACAAGCATGTTGAAAACCTAAGCATCAAAGTCAACAGATTCAATCATTAATTTCAGTATAAGTTTACATTACCTCTTATCTAGATTAATACTTTAAAGAGTTTCCCAAGAAATATCTTAACTCCAGTCTGACACATGCACCAAATCCACCTGAAAATCTAAATCTTCCTCAACCATTTTTACTGTGTCATTCCTCTGCTGAAAAACAACTATGGTTCTCTATTATCTATCAATCGGGTCTATACATAACTCTTGCTATATAAGCCCACCATGATTTGACCTAATCCAATTACGCATTCTTTGTAGTTTCATCAAATAAGATGCGGTATCTATTTCTTCCATTTTTGAATATGGGTAGGCCTCTTGACTTGCAATGAAGAGAATGTGACAGAATTGACACTGTATTACTTCTGATGCTCAGTCTCATGAGGCCATGCAATTTCTGCTGTTTTCCTCTTGGAACACTACCATGTAAGAAATCTGGGCTATCCTTCCAGAAAAGAAATATGGAAGCGAGCCAGTTAATGGTCAACCTAATTGCTAAATGTGTAAGTGAGGTCATCTTGGACTGCCCAACCACAACCAAGCCACCAGATGACTGCAGCCACATGAGTGACCCTGTTTATAATCAGAAAAAAAGCCTAGCTGAAGTTAACCCAAATTGTAAAAATCAAGGGCAAATAAATGACTGTTTTATGCCACTATGTTTTTGTTTTTTATTATATTATACCATATTTTATATTACTAATAAATATAATTTTGTGTTTATATATTTTTAAAAAAAGAAAACAGTTCCATTATTTAAAATAGCAACAGATTCTTTGGTGAAGTGAATAAATACTTCACCAAAGTTGACATATGAATGGCAAATAAACACATTAAAAAATGGCCAGTTTCATTACAGAAATACAAATTGAAACCTCAATGAGATAGTATTACAAATCTATTATACGGCTAAAATAAAAATAACTGACAATTGCAAATGCTGGGTAGGAGGAGAGCAAGTAGAACTCTCAGGAATTTCTGGTAAGAATTTCAAAATGGTACAGGTACTCTCGAAAAACAACTGAGCTGCTTCTTATAAAGTTAAATATGCAGTTAACATATGACCAGCAGTTCCACGCCTAATGGGAGTGCCCAAGAGAAATAAAACTATGGTCATACAAAAGTTTATGGAACAAAGGTTAATAGTGACTTTGTTCACAACTGCCCCAAAATGGAAATAACCTCACATTCTTGAATTGGTGAATGGATCAAAAAAAAAAAAAAAAAAAAGTGATAGATAGTGCTATGACTTGGATGTGGTTTGTCCTCAACAAAACTCACGTTGAAATTTGATCCCCAACATGGCAGTGTTGGGAGGTGGGACCTAGTGGGAGGTATCTGGGTTATGGAGCTAGATCCCTCATGAATAAATTAATGCTCCTCCTTCAGAGATGACTGAGTTCTCCTTCTCATGGGAATGGAATAGTTACCAAAAGAGCAGGTTGTTTAAAAAAGTCTGGCTTCCTCAGTTTCTGTCTTGCTTCCTCTCTTATCATGTGATCTCTTTATACATGCTTACTCTCCTTCCACTTCCTACCATGAATTGAAGCTGCCTGAGGCCCTCATCAGATGCAGCTGTTCAATCTTGGACTTTTCAGCCACCAGAAGCATGAGCCAAATAACTTCTTTCTCTATGAACTATCCAGTGTCGGGTATTCTGTGATAGCAACGCTAAATGGGCTAAGACACATCGATATAATGGAATACTACTCAACATTTAAAAAGAATAAAAATACTACTCAGCAATAAAAAAGAATGAACTACTAATACAGACAATAATATTGATGATCTCAGAAACATTATGGTAAGTGAAAAAAGACTCAAAAGGCTACATGCTACGTAATTCAATTTATATGACATTCTGAAACAGTAAAAAAGTGTGACAGAAAGCAGATCAGGAAGTGCCAGGGACAGGAGGTGGGGACAGAATTTGATCATAAGAGGGAACAACAGAATTCTAGAGGGAGGTAAAATTCATCTATAATTTTTATGGTGGTTACGTGACTAAGTACTTGCCAAAACTCACAGACATCTATGATGAAGTGAGTGAATTTTACGTACGGACAGTACTCATCAATAGATCAGATTTACACTGCAACCTCCTATATACTGTGCTTGTACATTTGCATCCCTCTGAGATATATTTAAATTATTTTCCTAAATTTCTAACACTATCAACAAAATCCAGAAAATTCTACTGAAAGATTTGTTAATTGCTTTTCAAATTATTGTCTTGAATCTACAAAATCTAAAAAATTGTAGTTCCAAGCTTCTGTGTTGCTTTCCAACTCCAATCCATATGCCTTATCGCAAAGAAATGACCTAGTTATAAACATCTGAACTAATCCTTTGTAGTCTGACTACACAATTTCTCAGAAGAAAAAGACATAACAAATTAAGTACAAAATATTAACTTAATTACTATAAGAGGAAAAAAAATTCCAACGCTAGTAGCACCTCCATTTCTCTTCCTTTCATGCCAGAGGGCCCTAAAACGACATCCCTTTGGAAGAAACACAAACGGCCCCAGCAGTGAAGTCAGTGAAAGGGCACAAGAAGGCTTTCTTCCCTAATGAGGGAAAATAACTATAAACTATTTTCCTGAAATTATATTCCCTTATATAAACACGAGCTCATTGGCTTAGTCTGTTTTCAGACTGTAATTACATGGTAATACCATATGACTTAGGTGATTCAGCTCTTAGAAGTAGTCTCTACATTTAAATGTAGTAGTTAAGAAATTAATTTCAACATATAAAAATATAAAGAAAGTGACTTAATAGACCTAAAGATTATTTTGCAGAAAGAAAAACCCATACTAAAGGCAAACTTTCCCTTCATGCAACAAAAACAAGACATTTGGCAGTCAGAAATAAACAAACTGAAATATCAGTATTGAAGATGGAACCACAAGAAAAGTGAGCAATTATTTATGAGCCTAAATTGTTAAGGGGAAAAATATTTTTAGGAGCAAAATTCCCATGATATAGAAGGAGATTTTACTACAATCAAAGCAAACCCCCAAATCAACTAGAATAGTAGCTATTCTTGGTGATCTCATACGTCTCATACTAAGACGTTTAGGTCACTGATTTCTCTGTTTTCTGCTCAGGAAGGCAATACAGTTATCCAGAGTTTAGGTTTTGGAGTCATACTACTAGGATTCAAAGTAGGCTGTACCACTTGTGAAAAGTGTGACCTTCAGCAAATTAAATTACTTAACATCTCTATAATTCTTAATCTGTAAAACGGTTACAAAAATGGTACTAACATCTCAGAAAGACAGTGTGAAATTCAATGAGATGATCCATGCAAAGTCCTTGGCACAGTACCTGGCATGTAATAAATGACAGCTATTATTACTAACCCCTAAATTGTCAATCTTTAGAATGAATAAGACTCTACTGAAAGATCACCTTTCTCTATGATGTTCCCTGAGTACCCCAAGTAGGAAAGAAAATAATAGACAAATTCAAGAAGTTCTATCCACTTTCTAATCCCTGACCGCTTGCTATCTTCTTGAATGGTACTACTACAACAAATGACAAGAATAATGTTTCATTCATTTTTGTCTTAACACCTAGCACTGCCTTTCAAAGGACATAAAAGGACCCAAATAATGTTATGGTGAAGAAAAAGTTATGACTCTAGACACAGGGAAAAATCCGAGTTCTAAACAAAGAGTGAAGGGCAGTGAGAGTAGAAAATGAGAGGACGATGGGTATCCTCTCTATAGCATCAAGGGTAATTTAACACTGCCAACTACATTCTTCCCTCATAGAATGTTCCTCAGTTTCCGTAACAGCTCTCTCCCTCTATTCTTCCCCAACTATTCTAAAAGCTTTCTGCACAACTGGATGTTTCCACTTTCTACTCCTTAATTTATGTGTTTCTCAAAGAGAAATGAAATTCAGCTCTTTTTCTCTATACCACTTCCCTTAGCGTTAATTACCACCTCTGAAGTAATGACTCTCAAATCTTCATTTCTAGCTTGTCTAGTTTGAGAGAGCAAGTACTACATGATCATCTTTGCATATAAGATATTAGGTAATGTTTTACCTCAATAACTTTGCAAAAAAATTCAGAGATCGCCTATGTAATATTATGTTTACTTGCTCCCTGAAAATATATAGGAGACTGGTTTTCCAAACAGTTGATGCCTTCTAATAGATATATGTCACATTTTTTACAGACTAGAAATAGCAATGATAATCATTCTCCGCATTCCAGATCCAGTTGTTTAACGATAAACTTTTGTGTCTACATTTTAATAAGTTATAGTTAGACTAACTCAGCCTCCCAGTTATTAGAATATCTTTGTTACAGTTCATATAAAATTTTTACTATACGCTAGTTTAAATCATAGTTTGGATTTAATACATCAATTTTTAATATGTAACTGTAAATGAAATATAAAGTACATAAATTAAATGGCATAGTTTTTCTACATTAAAATTGATATGCAAAATAATGATGCCACTATGGAGAAATTATCTTGGGGTGTCCCTGGGCCACACTGGAAGAAAAATTGTCTTGGGCCACATATAAAGCACACTAACACTAATGATAGCTGATGAGCTTAAAAATAAAATTTAAAAATCTCAGAATGTTTTAAGAAATTTTATAAGTTTGTGTTGGGCCTCATTCAAAGCTGTCCTGGGCCACCTGTGGCCCATGGGCTGTGGGTTGCACAAACTTGCTCTGTATTAAATATACGGAGATAGAAAACTGTCTTTTGGCAAAGATAGCAGGTTATTAAAATAATTAACTATTTTTCCTAGCGGAATGAAGCCCTACACCTAAAAACAAAGTACAATATTTCATCATTCTTCCTTCAGTATTTTAGGACCTACCGGAGAGATTCGGCCATTCTCCTCAAGTCTTCATTCTGCTGTTTTAAGCGTTCAAGCTTTGCCAGAATCTTGGACAGTTCTCGGCTAGAGTGATCAGGATGGTCATTATCTCGTACCAAGTGACCACCTATATAAAATAGCAAGGTCCCCCAGGCAAAAAGAATGAGCATAATCCAACGCCAGGAACCAGTCCATGGCCGCATTTTCAGATTTTCAACTCACTTCCCTGGAGTCCTGGAGCTCAAAGAATTGAAAACATTGTAACTCTGTTTCTAGTTAGTGCACAGGTGAATAGACTTCTGTTGTTTCAACACATGATGCTTCAGACAAATTATTCTCTCTGGTAGTCCTGTGGTGAATCTTTCAAAGAGATCCTTCTGGTGATATGTGTAGGAAGCTTTATTGTCCTGTACTTCATGGACTCTACATGCTGTGGAAAGAGTAAGAAATGTATTTAAATTATTTAAGATATATAAAACAGCATATGCTGAGATTCTTGGAGTTAAAGGAAACACATTGGTGTTGACTGGCCAACAAGCTGGAAGATAACCTAACTGCCTAATAACAAGTAAAGGGTAAAAGTTTTAAATCTGTTAATCTGTATATTAAATCAGCCATGTACACTAGTGCTCTACCAGATAACAGACTAATTAGCTCTAAGCCTGAAAGTCCTCAAAGTGCCATCATCACTTTCTTTTCCTTCTTACATAATTATACAATAGCTTATATACAAAGACTTAAAAATTGTATCTTTGAACAATCAATCAAAAACAAAATATACTCAACCACGTATTTTGGGCTAGTATATTCATTATCTCAAGAAAAAACATGTTCCCTGTATGAGTGATTTCATTTCTACCAGTTCTCAACTCCACTCTCCTCCCTCATTGTTCAGCTGCCATCATACCACTTAACTCTGCAGGTGACAGGCAAACTGTCACTTTTAGGATGAATTCTAAAACTGACATGCATATTAGCCAAGTAAAGGTTATCATAGCCATTAACCAGCTGGCAGTCATTCCAAATATCAGAAGCAAAGGTTCAAATGAACCAGGCTAGACTACTGCTTCTTCAAATTTATTAAAAATACCAACAATTACAACAAACATCTAGTACCAGTTATATCCTAGTTACCGTGCATCTTAAACTACAAATGCACATTCTTTTCCAGGCTTGGTTACAGGTATCATTTGTCATTTCTCCGTCATTAGGCTTAAAATTCCCTTGGAAACCAAGCTATTTTCTCCCCAAAGAGAGAATCTGTAGGCAAAAATATAATTTAAAACCTTTTGACAGGCCAGCCGCCGTGGCTGACATCTGTAATCCCTGCACTTTGGAAAGAGTCAAGGCAGGAGGATTGCTTGGACCCAGAGTTCGAGACCAACCTGGCAAGATGGTGAAACCCCATCTCTATAAAAATTTTTAATTTTAAAAATGTTTTGATAATTTTAAAGCTATAGAAGAGAAATTATATGTCTAGACAGAGTTCCATATAAAAAAAGAAGATAGAAAAAACAAGAAATAGTTTCTGTATACAAGACTGAAGAGGGCACTTGACCACCAATTTGTGGTAAAAAGATTAGCAGAAAACATGGAGAAGAGGCTTCAAAAATCAGAGCACAGGGCTACTATTTTTCCACTTTTGCACCTTAAATCTCAATTGTTTTTAAAACACCAAATATTCAAAGAGAAGAAAATCTCTTCAAATGGTTGTCCTAGAAACACTCTACTTCCTTCCCATTTACTCCTACACCATTTACCTTAATGTTACTGATTTACAATGGCAAAAATATACAATGAAAAAGATTGTACTTGCTGAGAACTGTTTGAAAACCAAATTAAAAAGGAATAATCTAAGTAAAAAGTTGTCTGTTGTTTTAATAACTATTCTTAAATCTATCAAAAACACTCTTTTTATTGACTCCATTGTTCATCCCATTCCTTTCTTAAAACTCTCAAATCCCCACTCCTCTAAACTCAGGTATCCCCTACTTTTCATCTTATGTAAAAAAAAACACAGATATCCAGGGCTCTGTGACTTAAAAACCAAATAAAAAAAAACTCATTCTGATGGCATAAGAAATTGATTCAATTCAGTAAGTCAGCCAAAAAATGTAAGTATTAATATTTCAATTAATAATTTTGTGACAACATATGCAACACTGTAAAATGTTACTATACTTATGTGCTGAAACTATACTATATCCTAGTTAATTCCAAGCTATTTTATAAACCATTAATTTATAAGACATTAAATTACTATATTATACATCAATATTGATAATACTTGAGTTGTAAAAAGCAATACATTATTATAGGAGCAAAATATGGTCATTTTCTAAATTAATAGCATCATTTGAACTATGTTTTTGGAGAGACTGTTTCCCATGATTTTTTTTTGTCTTTGCCAGTATTTTTTAAATCCCCGGTTTTGGGGTCAACAAAACCAAGTTAAGCTGAAAAACAAGTAGTTTTCTATGCAATTTTCCTCTGCAAGGTTTAAAAGAACAAGGTTTAAAAGAACAAGGTTTAAAAGAACAAGCACAGAATTTTTTCCCTATCTACTAACTACAATGCTTACTTACTTATGGTTACTTACTTATGGTTACTGTTTATTGTCTGAACCATGCTTGCTAAAATATAAACGCCATAATTTTTGTTCATTGTGTTCACTGATGTATCCCAGGCACTAAGAACGGTATTTGACACTTAGTTGGCACTAATGAATACAGCTTAAACTGCATTTATGCCCTACTTAAGACGGTAAATGGCAATGCAGAAAGTGAGAGAATGCTATTATAAGGAAATGGTTCAAAAATAAGGTCATTAATAAACTTCCATATTTATTATTGTCAACATATATCTTATAAAGACATTCCTTGGTTGATTAAATTTAATTGGCCTAAAAGACCAAGAGAGTCCTTTTTTTTTTTTTTTTTGAATCTCGCTCTGTCTCCAGGCTGGAGTGCAGTGGCACAATCTTGGCTCACTGCAACCTCCACCTCCAGGGTTCAAGAGATTCTCCTGTCTCAGCCTCCTGAGTAGCTGGGATTACAGGTGTCTGCCGTGGTGCAATGGCTCATTTTTTATATATTTAGTAAAGATGGAATGTCACCATTTTGTCAGGCTGGTCTCAAACTCCTGACCTCAGGTGATCCGCCTGCCTCAGCCTCCCAAAGTGTAGGGATTACAGGTATGAGCCACCACATCCAGCCAAAAGAGTCTTATGGTTTGCCTTTTAACCATCAAAAACTAATGTATCTTATTTTCTTCATTTAGAAGACTCACTTTGCAAAGACAACGATATGACTGAAGAAAGTATGTACAGCCTTTGATATGAAAGCCAATCAACTTACTTGTGAAAGTATTAGTAAAAATAGTTCAAATTAGTAAAAAAATTTAAAAATTAATTACACATATCAGCTAATTTCTGACTAAAATTTATATAGCAGTGTTGAGATTTGTTCTCAGAGTGGGCTTTCTTTTCAAGAATTTATAAATTTATTACTACTAAAGACTCACATAGTACTCTTCTTCTGCAAAATACCAAATGAACTGAAATGTGCCAGGATTCTTTTTGCAAATTTATTTAATTAGTGATATCACCTTTTTTTGTTTTAACAGAAAAGTTGGCTGGGCACAGTGGCTCATGCCTGTAATCCCAGCACTTCGGGAGGCTGAGGCGGGTGGATCACAAGGTCAGGAGTTCAAGACCAGCCTGGCCAAGATGGTGAAACCCTATCTCTACTAAAAATACAAAAATTAGCCAGGCATGGTGGTGGGTGCCTGTAATCCCAACTACTCGGGAGGCTGAGGCAGAGAATTGCTTGAACCTGGGAGGCAGAGGTTGCAGTGAGCAGAGATCGCAACACCGCACTCCACCCTGGGCGACAGAGCAAGGCTCTGTCTCAAAAAAAAAAAAGAGAGAGAGAGGGAGACAAAATCTCGGCATGTTGCCTACGCTACATTGATACCACTTTTTTAAGGTACTAAGGTATTTAAATGTTTCATTTCTTTTGGTATTTACAGAGATTCTTTGGATAATATTTGTTTAATGTCTCTGGAACAATAAATATATTTGATTTTTCAAAGTACTTTTTCTGAATCTGGAAGCTAGAGTGTAATATCAGTAAGATAAGGAGACTTAATAGAGTTGCTATGAGCCTTAAATAAGGTTAACATTATATAAACCACTTATAATGCTTGGCACATAAGAAGTGCTCCAAAAAAAGTAATTTTATTTTAATGCTGACAAGACATAGAAATTAAAAGTATAGGTGCTAGAATCAGCAGTGTCTAGACTGGAGTCTCAGTTCTGCTACATCACAGCTAGGTAACCTCACTGAACAATCTGTAAACTGGAGATAATAAATACCACCTCTCCTAGAGAATACTGGAAAAGGCTTAAATAAAATAATCATCAACAGGGAAGCACCTCAGCTCACGATGCAGCAAATTATTATGTGGTATATATTGATGTTGTTACATTATTTTACAGACCCATTTATGATTATTTATATAATTAATATGCCACATGCTGTTGTAGGCAGCTTCTGAAATGGCTGCCAACTATCTCTGTGTCCACTATTCATGTCCTTGTATCATCTCCTCCTCTGGAGTGTTGGCTGGACCTAGTGACTTGTTTCTTACATAGAATACGGTAAAAGTGACAGAATTTCACTTCCAAGGTAAGGTTACAAAAGACTGGAGCTTCTGTGTCTTGCTCACATTGTCCCTGCTTGCTTATTCTGACGATACAAGCTACCATACTGTGAGCCATCATGCAGAGAGGCCCATGTGGAAAGGAACTGAGGGCAGCCTTTAGACAACAGTCAACAAAGATTTCAAGTGCTCAGTCCTAAGACCACAAGCACCTCACAAGGTTGTTGAATCCCGCCAATGACCATGTGAATGTGAGCAAGCTTAGAAATGCACCCTCACCAGTCAAGCCTCAACACAGCTGTAGCTTTGGTCCACATCTTGAATGCAGACTTTTTAAAGACCCTCACCTAGGAGATGGAGCTTAGCCAGAGGATCCAGCTAAACCATCCCTAGATTCTGACCAACAGATAATAAATTGTTGCTTTAAGCCACTGAGTCTAAAGGTAATTTGTTATGTAGCAATAAATAATTAATACATATGTCTACTTTCACTAGAAGGTTAAAAGCCTGATCTTCACTTCATGTGTTATTTTCCGTCTCTAGCAAGTTGTAGAACGCCTTGGGCACAGAATAGGCATTCAAGATGCAAGACAGAACTGAATATTAATCACGTTTCCTTATGTATTCTGCTAATACCTCTTATGCATATCATAAAACAAAACTCAATTTACAGCAAATAAGAGATTTAACAGATACAATTACAATTGTTGGTTTATACTAATACCAGAGGTAAAAAAGCATATTTATTAATAGCTGCTAAACAGAGTT